TATCATATAGTATAAAAATTTTTTTTCAATTTATGTACTTTTGAAGAGTACATTGAAAAGTGAAAATCCTGAAAGTTTCAGCCCTCTAGGTCCAACCTTATTGGATTTTCAGGGTCGTGAAGTTGAATTTTCTTTTTTTGCTGATATTTTGCTTGCAATTCTGATTTTCTTGGGTAAATATGAAAAAATTGTTGAATCACGGGTTTTAATGTAAAATTTGATGTAGAATTCAAATTTGTACTTTAAAATCATATTAAGAAGTGGAGTCCCCATAAAAATGATATTTTCATGTCCTAATCATATTACTGTACTAAAAAAAATGTGTTCGTATCCTTCGATTAGACCCATATTGTAATATGTTCATCGATACACCAAAATACAACTTCTGATAAATTTTGGTTATTGGCAGACAAACAGAATTCATTTTTGAGCTTAATATGAGTCAAGAAACATGGTTTTTCTCTAATTTTCCTTGATATTTGACTCATATTAAGCTCAATAATGAATTCTGTTTGTCTGCCGATAACCAAAATTTATTAGAAGTTGTATCTTGGTGTATCGATGAACATATTACAATATGGGTCTAATCGAAGGATACGAACACATTTTTTTTAGTACAGTAATATGATTAGGGCATGAAAATATCATTTTTATGGGGACTCCACTTCTTAATATGATTTTTAAGTACGAATTTGAATTCTACATCAAATTTTACATTAAAACCCGTGATTCAACAATTTTTTCATATTTACCCAAGAAAATCAGAATTGCAAGCAAAATATCATCAAAAAAAGAAAATTCAACTTCAAGACCCTGAAAATCCAATAGGGTTGGACCTAGAGGGCTGAAACTTTCAGGATTTTCACTTTTCAATGTACTCTTCAAAAGTACATAATTTTAGAAAAAAAATTTTTTTGACCATCACGCTAATTATGGCTTAGCCCATATATACCTCGTAAATACAAGGTTTTTATTATTTATATAACTTGTAAAAACAGGGTATTCATTATTTATATACCTTGTAAATACAAGGTATTTATTATTTATATATATTCTACATAGAAGGTATTTATTATTTATATACCTTGTAAATACAAGGTATAGGGTACTTATACCATTGATTACCGCTTTCGACCAGTAAAATGACCACTTTTGGATGTGCAATAACTATCATTTTTCCTCATTAAATTATGATCAAACGTAGAAAACAAGATGCATCGTTCACTAAAGAATTGATTTACAACCATAAAAATATATTTTTAATTGTTTTTCCTACGATATTTTCCAAAATGGTCATTCACTAGTACCCGGTCATTGATTGGTCTGACTACCCTATATATAATAAAATTATTTTTTTTTTCATTGATTTTCCAGATTTGTTGGGGAGGCCAGAATTTTAGCACGAGATTCATTCAACGCGTAATGTACAGATATGTAAATAAATATACCCAAAAAGTGTATTTACATCGTCTTATTATTGTCTGATAATGTATGAAATATCTCGCACATGAAATATACGTGTACACCGTCAGTTTGAATAAATCGGTTACATGAATTCAGATCAAGGAAAGTAATGAATCTCGCAGATCAGTTACAAATTTTAACATTAATCCAGAACATTAAAACTATTGCTTCCATTGTGAGAAAATTTGAATTAAATGAATCTAATACATGTATACGTAAAATTCGGAAATGATGAATTCTTTAAAAAACATTATAGAGTTATCAATAACTCACGACTTATGTTGACGAAAAGTTTAGAATACAAGTATATATGCAAAAAAGCGATGGGAATTTATAAGTAACTGTATAAAGACATTTTTAAAAACTCAAAACAAACTTCTATAAGTGGTAAAAAATAATTCTTAGTTTCCTATTCATATTTTTGGTAAATAAATTGATTTTTATTTTTTTATTTTTTTATTTTTCTGGTTACATGATTCTGAATCTCACAGAACGTAACCCTCGCGGATAACAAGGGATGCCTGTAATTCTCAATCCATTTTTTTCAATATACATATATATTTCTCAATGTATTCTTTTCTTAAATTATATGTTTGGTATCCCGTTATCAACTTCAGCTTATTATAGTCATTTAAGGATGATGTAGTGAAAATGAAAAAAACTTTAGATCGAAGTGAAATTTCAACCGGTGATAGTTTATGAAATTACAAGATTTTAGGTAAAAAAAATTTGGGGTTTCCAGGCAAACTTGAGAAATAACGAGATTCAAAGTTTTGGCCATTTAACATTAGATCTCATAGAAAGTGGCAGTTTTTTGTTTACCGTGAGCTCAAATCACTTTATAAGTTAATGAAATTAATGTAGGTTATAGAAAATGTCATTAGCTTTCGAATGATATAATAAAAAATGTGTGTTTTCAGGCAAATAAAAAAGTTATGATTTTTTTAACACTGCGTGCGCGAAACACGGGTTTTCTAACCTTAAAGCGTCAGAAAACCTTAGTTTCTCGCAAGCAGAGTTAAAAAATATCGTTTGCAACTAGTCTGCGAGGAAGTTGACTCATCCAGGAGTCTTTGCAAATTCATGTGACTCATGAAGTGTTTCCTTTTGAGATCCTATCATACACCCATCCAATTTATTATTAATTATTTGAACAATTCCTGAACAGTGATAAAGATGGAGTAAAAATGGTCTTATCAAGAAAGCGGAGGGTTTTTTTTTCCTTTTTCAACCAAACTAACTTTTAAAGCATTAGGAGCAAATGAAACTCAATCGGTAATCTCCGAAAATTGACAGGTAACTAAAAACTAACCTTGTTAGAAAACGCAAAAGAAGAAAAAATCAACTTATAATGTACATAGTCTACAGAAAGAAGGTTCGAGGAAACAGATGTAGCCCAGTCAAAAATCAGAATTCAGAAGATTTAAAAAGTGCAATAGAAAAGAGAGAAAAAAGTTAACTCGAAAATTATATGAAATAATTACGATTTCAAGGTACCCTTCCCCCTTAAATTATAACTGGGTGGTTTTTGGATGCAATCCAGCTGGTAGTTAAAAAAATTATAGCGTAAAATGTACTCAATTCTGATAGCCTTCTTAAATGCCAATGTTAAGATAACCACTTTTGAAAACTTTATTCTCTGAAATTACAGCATCAGCCTATGCTGAGTTTTACCAGCTAATCAAGTAAATATTAAACTACATTTATGCGAAGTTTTATGAAAATATAGCTCAAACGCGTTTTACCACAGAGCCACCTTAAAAATAAACTTGTCTGTTTCCTTTGAATAGGCGACTATTGAAATATATTCTTTCAAAAATCAAACATTACTTTTCATATCGTTTTTTTACTTTAAGGGGAAGATAGGTTAACAGGGGTGAAAAATTATTACATTTTCATTACAGAAATTAAATAGAGGTATTTAAGATAATTTTCGAGAAATTTATAATGGAAATTCAAATTATTTTATGTGTTATACAATTCTGAAGTGAAGCGTGTTATGGCCTATAGTCTGAGAGCACATCGAGTGCAGGCTCTACATCATTTAAGGTAGTATCTCACCTTTCGGGTCACTCTATAATAAAATAACATCATTTTGTCAAATCTTGACTTATGAATAAGCACTATTTTTGTGGCAGTTTGGGGGCGCTGTACAGCGCTCACAAGGCCAAAGAAAAAAGAAGAAGAAGTACTATTTTGCAATTATATCTCAAATTTACATTGACATATGTACAGAAACAGGCAACTCTTGATTGAAATCCTCGATATATTACTTAATCAGCAAAAAATCTCAATTTTCTAACCTTTTATTTTAATTTTTCAGATTTTCACTAATTAATAGCTAATAAAGTGACATTCTGAAAAATTTCACATAAAGCTGAAGTATTTTTAATCTATTACGAAAAGTTTCGTTGATATCTCTCCATTGGTTTGATAAATATTCGATAAAATATAAATTTTTCCTATGTTACCCATGTTAAATGAGCGAAATATTAATTACTAATTACTCAACTCAGAGCTAACCTCTAGGGTCCAAAAATCTGGCAGAGTCTTTTTTATGCATAAATATAGAAATGTGCCGAGTTTCATCGAAATCTCTCCATAATTTCAATTTGGTGATATACTAACTTAAATGTATATCTAATGAAACTTAAGAAGCTAGAAAAGAGTTCCTGATGTGATGTTAATTTGGGTGCGTAGAGGCGTATCCTTTCAACGGGGTGAACAAACATTTTCTATATACAGTGTTTATCGTTTAAGAGAATCAGCCGGCTATTTGAATTAGGAACCTCGGTTCCGATTGTGCTGTACTTATACAATACCTATCGAATAGTTGAATAAGCCGTATAAAACATGAAATTGTTATCTTGGTGTAATTCTCTTCAGCGGCGACCACTGTATGCGCCTTCACAAAAGTCACAAAGAGAAATTGACCAATTCTCTGATTAGCATTAAATTTGTTTTATAATTTTCAATATTTTTGATTGAAATTCTTTAATTTTTCGTAGAAATAGTAATTGTTTAACTTCAATTGAATATTTTTACATGCAACCCCAGCCGAAACTAACCTTTTTCGTCCCAGCAGCCAAAAACGAGAAAGTTAATTTCTGCTGGGGAATTCATGCAAAGTAGTATACGCACCTATGAAGCGAACAAAAAAGCCTCAGAGCACATGTTTATCAGCCTCGGCGAATAATTAGACGTGCTCTGAGGCTTTCCAGTTCTTCTCTTCCTAGGCACGTATTATACTATTATTTTATGGACTTCCATTTATTGATTTGTTAATTTTACTCAATTTCAGAAACTCCGTTTGTTTGTTCATTGGGAATAAAAACAAATTTATCTATTCTTATTTTTATAATTGGACGATTAGTGCTGAGGCCACTGATAAATAGTAAAGACAGAAATGTTAAAATAAACAATAATTTTTCTAAAAAAATTTACGAATATATGAATGAGTTAGAATTATTGTGAAAATTAAAATGGAAAATATTATAATTGTATTGGGGATTATTAAGTAATTCAATATTAAATACCTGTGTGTTTTGGAAGTAATGTCTCCACAGTGGTCTAATTTTATCCTGACCGCCGACGTCCCATACGGTAAAACTAATGTTTTTATATTCTACGGTTTCAACATTAAAACCTAAAATCATATGAGAATTATTAACCACAGTATGAGTAATCTATTTATAATTAGTTTTTCCTTTAATATTCATGTAGGCTTCATGAATGACATTTTAATCCCAAAAAATACATAAATTATTATTAGATTCTTAGAATTTTAATCTCTATAGTGAAGAGGAAAAATAAGCAAATACAAGTCAAAGTTACATTTCTGAGTAAGATTATTTATATAGCTTTGAGTAAATTCATGTTATTGCTGCATTTCACGAATGGTTTCTCATGAATTCTTTTGCACCATTGATAATGTATATGGGTAAGGCTCAGAATTTTTTAAATAAATCTGCGCTCGTATGTCACCGATCTTGACGCGCTTTTGGTATGTTATAGTGCATGGTAAAAAAGACCCAAAACCAAAATTTTAGACCCCCTCCCCCCTCCTACCCCCCACTTCCGGTATAAACGTCCATTTTCTATCTACATTTTTTCTGAAGGCCTGAAGCAATTAAAAAATCTGAAAAAATTCACAAAAATACTTTTCAACAATCCAAACAACCTTGAATTTTTTCAGATTTTTTGAGTGCTTCAGGCCTTCAGAAAAAATTATTGAAAATTTTGAAAATTCATATACGGCGCTACGATGCAATACAAAGCCCGATCTTTTTTTCCACTTATTTTTGACATCAAAATACATAACCTCAAATTTTTTCAGATTTTTTCAGACAGAGCGCTGGCGGTTTTTAGCCGAAAAACGCCCTTTTTTTACGAAAATAATTTTTTTAGGGCGATATGAAGCTTTAAAAAATCTGGAAAAATTTTTTTCTTGTTTTTCAGGTCAAAATACATAACCTTGAATTTTTTCAAATTTTTTAATTGAAGGCGATAGCATCTATGGCTAAAAAACGCTATTTTTATGAAAAACGGTTCCTGGAACCCAGAGGTTCCGGTAAAAAAATTTGAAAAAATTTTTTTCGAATTCCTTGTCAAATTTTAATAAATTTTGACCGTCGCAAAATTTCGATTGGAGCTTCCTAGCTCATTCTAGAGCATAACAAAGATTCGAGCGAAATTCTGAAGAAATTTGAAAAATAATGTAATTGTGATGAACGTCTTCAGAATTTCGCTCGAATCTTTGTTATGCTCTAGAATGAGCTAGGAAGCTCCAATCGAAATTTTGCGACGGTCAAATTTTATTAAAATTTGACAAGGAATTCGAAAAAAATTTTTTCAAATTTTTTTACCGGAACCTCTGGGTTCCAGGAACCGTATTTCATAAAAATAGCGTTTTTTAGCCATAGATGCTATCGCCTTCAATTAAAAAATTTGAAAAAATTCAAGGTTATATATTTTGACCTGAAAAACAAGAAAAAAATTTTTCCAGATTTTTTAAAGCTTCATATCGCCCTAAAAAAATTATTTTCGTAAAAAAAGGGCGTTTTTCGGCTTAAAACCGCCAGCGCTCTGTCTGAAAAAATCTGAAAAAATTTGAGGTTATGTATTTTGATGTCAAAAATAAGTGGAAAAAAAGATCGGGCTTTGTATTGCATCGTAGCACCGTATATGAATTTTCAAAATTTTCAATAATTTTTTCTGAAGGCCTGAAGCACTCAAAAAATCTGAAAAAATTTAAGGTTGTTTGGATTGTTGAAAAGTATTTTTGTGAATTTTTTCAGATTTTTTAATTGCTTCAGGCCTTCAGAAAAAATATAGATAGAAAATGGACGTTTATACCGGAAGTGGGGGGTAGGAGGGGGGAGGGGGTCTAAAATTTTGGTTTTGGGTCTTTTTTACCATGTACTATAACATACCAAAAGCGCGTCAAGATCGGTGACATACGAGCGCAGGTTTATTTAAAAAATTCTGAGCCTTACCCATATGTATTTTTTCACTATTCGCAAACAGGCTTAGTAATCATCCCCTATGTATAGGCTATATAATAGGGTATCTGCATGAAAAAAAAAATCATTGAAATAACTACGTTTTAGTAAAATATACATATCAAGGAATGTGGGAGTAAAAAAATTAACAATTTTGAACAGTCAAGTAATTTTTAATACGAGAATAAAAATCAAAAAAATTTGAAAATCATTTTGAACTCCACAAACGATTTTGATTGGTCCGCATAACTGTGACCTTATAATGTAAGTCGGCTGCTGCATGTAATTTGTATACCTATATATACATGCGTCTACTGATAAGTATGACGTCACGGTCTGCTCGCACAGCTTCGAGCGGTTACTGCGCGTTTTCGGGCGTTTGAAAAGTTGTATTTTTTGAAACGATAAATTTTTAAGTAAAATCGCGATGAAATATTAAAAAAAAAAAAAGATTCATTGATAATTCATATATGTTGATTTCAAAAATATCATCACTTTTTTTTATGCAAATACCCTATTGAAGTGGAACTTTTGATAATTTGATCTTTAATAAGCCTGATATCTCTAAATTGTATCGAATTTTCAATACCCGTTCAAGAAATACCTATAAAATACGGTAAGTTTGATAAAACTTTTGATTTTGAGCTTTATCTTGAACAGCTACAGCTTTTCGTTATTTAATAATTACCTAAAATATTGTAGGGATGACACAAATATGGGAAAATCCATGGAACGTGGCCGCTATTTTGACTCAGTGATATTTTAATATTTCCATCGATATTGTGCAATGAAATAGGCACAGCAACTGTACGTCTATTATGGAACAAATATCTCATTCTCAACGTTCTTAAAAACATTTTACAGTCATTATGCCTATTTCGTTACGCAATATCAATATATTGCCGATGCTTATGAAAAATAAACACCTCATATCGAAATGTCTTAAAGAAAACATATATCAACGAAACGTCGTAAAGATATGGCCGATTCTCTGTGAAATCGATTGGTCAAAAAAATTTTTTTTCTGCAAATATGAAAAACTTGTTGTATTTGATGTCAGAAATGTCCCCAAATTTTATTAGAATTTTTGGGACCATCTATCACTCTTTTTCAGGGGCCCGAAGTTGGCCATTTTAGGGTTTTTTTGAAATTCATGAAAAATCACAAATATTCAAATAATTCCTGGATTAAAGTAGAATGATTCAAAAGTAAAAGTGCCCAGCAACTTTTTTGTTGGAAATTGTCCAAATTTTCAGAAAAAAAATATGCCAAAGTGATTGGAGCCACCTGAAGAGATCATAGTGGGAAAACATACAAAAAAAACATAAAACAAGAAATCTACTCGAGTTCGAACCGGACTTTCATTTCCTAAACTATGTAAAAAGCTTCCCAAAGATGTTAACTAATGCCTGATAAAGTTTTGTAATGGGTCTTAAAGTTTAACGCAATGTAGACAACAATGCGTGGTGAAAAACGTGCAAAAAAGGTCAAAAATAAGCCTAAATTGCCTAAAATCACCAAAAACAGCCATTTTCAGTCCTTCTTTGCACGTTTTTCGCCATACATTGTTGTCTACATTGCGTTAAACTTTAAGACCCATTACAAAACTTTATCAGGCATTAGTTGACATCTTTGGGAAGCTTTTTACATAGTTTAGGAAATGAAAGTCCGGTTCGAACTCGAGTAGATTTCTTGTTTTATGTTTTTTTTGTATGTTTTCCCACTATGATCTCTTTAGGTGGCTCCAATCACTTTGGCATATTTTTTTTTCTGAAAATTTGGACAATTTCCAACAAAAAAGTTGCTGGGCACTTTTACTTTTGAATCATTCTACTTTAATCCAGGAATTATTTTAATATTTGTGATTTTTCATGAATTTCAAAAAAACCCTAAAATGGCCAACTTTAGGCCTCTGAAAAAGTGTCATAGAAGGCCCCAATTTTTCTAAAATTTTTTGGGACAAATCTGACATCAAATACAACAAGTTTTTCATATTTGCAGAAAAAAAATTTTTTTGACCAATCGATTTCACAGAGAATCGGCCATATACATACCTCATCGAAACGCCGTGAAGATATACATACCTCATCGAAACGCCGTGAGAAAAACACACCTCTTCAAAACACCATGATATTTTTAACGTAATTCGTTAAATCATAATTCGATGAGATGTGTTTTCCTTTGCGGCATTTTGATGAAGTGTGATATTCTTCACGGTATTTCGTTGAGGTGTGTTTTTTCTACGGCTTTTCAGTGAGATGTGTTTTTTTTACGGCGTTTCAGTGAGATGTGTTTTTTTTACGGCGTTTCGATGAAATAATTTTTATCACATCATCCGAAAAGATATATTTTTTTACAGCATTTTACACGCAAGTTTTTTTTCATAGCGTTTTCCACTCTCTCTGGTAGAAATTTATTTTTTCAGAGCATCAATGAAATGTTTTCTTGACCACTTATTGGCCATTAAATTACCAATACGGCGAGTTAGTCAATAAATTATTGAAGAAAACATTTGATTAATGCCAAAAAAATTTTCGATTTCTACCAGGACTGTTTTTTTTTTACTTTCAAACATTATGCTAGGAATAATCGGGTGTTGATTAACGCGGGTGAGAGGTGAATATTGATATTAGTTTTTATATTTCATCGATCAAATTATCGTGGTAGAACATTTTTCGGCATTAATGAATCAATTTTTGGACCATTTTTTGGACAACTCCCCGAATTGGTCATTTAATGGCCAATAAATGGTCATGAAAACGTTTGATTGATGCTTTGAAAAGTTAAATTTCTATTATGGTACCCGGTACAATCATAAAAAATAAGAATTATGATAAAAATGATCGAAACATCTATGGAGGGGAAAATTCGTACACGGACTCCTAGAGATTTTTGAGTTTCATATACGAGAATCATACTTTCGTATAGATCTGTAAGGTTACTTGGAGTTTCGTATAAGAAAATTAAAAATTTTTGTGCGAAGAGTTATGAGTTATTTTAAAAACATAAAAATTGTTTAGTCGAAAAAAGAAACGTGCTGAAGTCAACACAAAAAAAAATAAGACTTCGCATATTCGCGTGTCAAGTTTCATTATTCCCGGATTTGTTTTGAAATCTTCGACCCCGTCGAGACTCAACACGCAACGACCGACCGGGTCTAAGAATAATAACCTTGATCAATACACAGATAATCCATCAATCGCACTCCATTCGGACCCTCACCGAAATTCGCCGCTGGAAATCGAACCCACACCCTCCAGCACATCCATACATCAGCAGGCAAGAACTAAATATAAATCTCACGGATTGGCAACCGTTTACGCCGACTACATCGGCATCGACCATTGTGCTGGGGACCAGCACATTTGTTATTTACCTAAATTCGTTTAACCGTTAATCGTGTCTAATTCTTACAGTTTTAATTCCAGTAATAAAAAGTATGAAGAGTTTATAAATCGATATTTTTTTCATGTTTCACTGGATAATTTAATCGAAAATTAAGTACACTTCCTACCAATTAATAATCGTTTTAGCAGTGATTCACTGATTTGTTTGAGAACCACTTACTATTACGAATAAGTAGTAATAAATATCCACTGTGAAAAAGTAATTGATTAAGATTTTTGATAAAAACATGAAATACTCACCTATTGTTGGAATAGTAGTCACTATCTCACCCAATTTCAACTTATATAAAATTGTAGTTTTACCAGCAGCATCTAATCCTACCATTAGAATTCTCATTTCCTTTTTTCCAAAAAGTCCTTTGAATAAAGTTGCAAACATATTCCCCATGGTTGATCTAGATTCATTAAATAAAAGGACCATGTATCATTTTATATATCAATGATAAATATTTTATATAATGTTTTATTTTAAACATGATATCATGGTATTTGTAAATTTTCAACCGTCATCAATTTATTTCAATTACTATTTAGACAAATCATAGCGCATGGTGATCGGGCATTATTAGGTTTAGCCTATGGGTTATTTCGGCTAAAATGATATTTTTCGAGTCCTAAAATGGTTCTGAAGCGGATTTTTGTTTGACCAGATGTAATACAAAATGACAAGCGGTACACGAGTACAGATACAGACTCGTAAAATTTTTTTGGCATCTATATAGAAATAATACAGTCAACATTAATCTTTAATGAAAATTTGCCTAAGAAGCAGAGAGCAGAGGGAAATGCTGTGAGGCGGAATTTTGAACTCTATACTAATAAAAAACTTCCTAGGTATAGGCATTTTAATATATTTGCACCATTAGTATGTCCAAAAAGTGTACTCGCCTCTTTGCAGGAAAGTCGATCTATTATGTTGAGGAATAGCATCAAGAAGTTTATTTGATCAGTTTGAAATATTTATCCAATAAAAGTTGACAAAAGAACCAACATTTTGATATGTATTGATGTATTGAAATATTCAAAAGCTGCAATTTAGAGAGGAGCGACAAGCAAAACATCATTTTAGCTATATCACCAATGATTCAATTAACGATTAAATCAAATTAATGAAAAATTTTATATTATTCTAAAATACATTTACTATATTCATTAAAAACTACTCTGATAATAAATAAAAATTCTTGGGCACAAAGAATTATTAAAGAATTAGGATAAAAACATAAGTATGAAATGATAAATTTGAAAATATCTTGCTTATGTACAATGAGCTTTCATTACTTATGTCATTGACCTATCAAAAGTTTGGAAAGGTGTCTAGATATAACCTATTATTTGATGCAATATCTATGAAAATATAATTGATACAAAAGCTTTTTAAAATTCATAATTCTCAATTATTGAAACATAGTAATCAAATAAGGACTTCTGTGTAGGTTTCATTCTCTTTTTTCATCTATTTCTGCTACTTGAAGGAAATTAATGTTGAATGTACATCTTTTAGAAAAAATAAAACCAGTAGGAAGATGTTTCGAAACAATAGCTAAAAGTTATAAGCAACTTATGTTAACACCAATTGTATCACAAGGCTAATAAGTATAATATTTTCTATTAACATTTACGTGTACATTTAGAAATAAACTTGATAGAAATCCTAGAAAAAACATTTGAATTTTTACTCTCAACTTAGCTACAGTATCTCTTTATGAAAGAATATTCAAAATTGTGAACAGTGCTAGCAAAATAACTCTTAATATAAATGTTTTAAGGAATCTAATCACAATATATCCACGCAGACTATTATAAACTAGTTTTGTTAGTCACTGATAAAATACTCTTAAAATATTTTCATGATCATAAGAACCAGTCAGTTGATTTTCTAATCAAAATTCAAAGCACTTAAAGTTTGAAAAATTCCATGATGTTTGATTAGAATTAAAGTTTTTTATTATAAAATTAATTTAATTTAACTTGATAATAGGGTAAATTGACCAGTAATGGGTCACCTAAAAAATACTTAGATTTTGCTCACTTGTATAAATTGTGCATAATATCATTAAAAGTAAATAAAACAAGTAGTAATAAAAAAATTTTCTAAAAATGCCTCTCAATAGCAAAAGAAGGAAAACTTTCGAATGAATACTTACATGCTTACAATTGATAAAAAAGAGGTAATAATATTTCTCAAGTAACAATTCTCAAGTAACAATAGAAGCTAAAAAATACAATTTAATTATTAGTTATGGGCCACTCTACTGAGCCTAATTCTGATGTAAAAATTATTTTTATTTTTGAGCATTGAAAGCTTTAAAAATAAACAAATATGTTTTGAAATATATGAGAAACCTTCTATTATTCTTAAAATTAAATTAAATTAAATAAATATTATTCTAGTTATAGAAAAGATTAAAATTATAAATGACGTAAAAAAGGAGATGTAACAGCTAGTAAACGCAGCTGTAAATTTTTTTTGCGATAATAATAATAATAAAAGTGGAAAAAAATTGTATTGCAACAAAATTTAATTTTTTTATTATTTATTTAAATAATTGCTCATGGTTGCTCAGTATTGGAAGATGGGGAGAGGCATAACTGGCTACTTTACCCTACGATAAGTAAAATTGATCAAGGAGCCTAATGGCAAAATTAATAAACTTTGACATTTTTATACAGTGGCTGATGTTACAGTGGTTGAAGATTACAATAAATTCTTTTTTTCGAGTGGTTATGTAGAGTATAGTTTTTTGAAAAGATTTGGAAAAAATAAATTACCACCCAACATGTGTTTCATAAAACATTTTTATACAGTACTTTTATGGGTATGATACCTTATAATTTCGTTCTATAGAGACTTTAAAAATCTTAAGAACTACACATTGGTACATACTATTCTGAATTTTTTTGGGCACATGTAGATTGAAAAAAATTATTGAAAATACAAAAAGAAATGTAACTACAGAATGGTTCAAATACATGGAGGTCTACCGTCATTACCTCAGTACCTTCTAATAATGATTATTCTTTATTTTAAATAATATATCAAGTAAATTCTTCACAGGCACAATTCAATCTTAGAAATTTGATCAATGAATTGATAAATTCTTAATTAATGAGCTTATTTCAAGTACAGTGCCTAATTCTTGAAGTATTTACATATGTTACATGTAAAATGGTTTTTTTGGCCCTGACATTTGAGTTTTGTATAATAAAATTATAAAATTATATCGAAATATGTTTATTCAATTAGTCATTAATATTAATTTCAGTGAAGCAGCAGTCTATTCAAAATAAAATATTACATTTTTATATATCAATTCGAGAAAACTATTGCTATAGCTAAATATGATTTTTTTGCTATTCTTGTTTAATTTGTTACGGTTATCTGAGGAAATCATCATTACAAAGTTATAATAATTTTCAAAATACTGTAATGAAAAAAAAAGAAATGTTTGAAAAACAACTGAAAAATCATAGTAATATGATAAAATATGTGAATATTCACTAATAAATTTGCACACTTGTTTTGTAGACCAAGTCAATATTGAAAGTAAATACTTTTTGAATGATTTTTAAAAAATGCAAAGAAAAACAATTACTGTTTATGATTATTCTAATATATCTTAAAACTATTTGGAAGAATAATGATGAACTGACTGACTTACTAGATTTTCTGCTGTTGTCTCCTGAGTTATAGTAAACTTTAGGAATTCGAAGAGTTCAGATTCCAAATAATTGCTGTAAAATAGCTTGATGCCTACTATTGTACTATAAACCAGCTATTAGATGAAAATTCTAATCAATTTTAATTTAATTGCTTTTTTCGCAGTATACGGTTTTTTCAAATTGGTGAGTTTGATGTTTCATCTATACATACTAAGCTAACATATACTCTTGATCGAAATGGCGGCGAACTCATGCCGTGCCCGTCACCAGTGTGCCACGTAAAGACGACCTTAAACTCTACGCATCTAAACTCATGGAGTCTGACCGTAAAAATTTTGAATTGTATTTGAAGTTTTTCTACCTTTGTTCGTCGTAAAATACAATTTTTACGTTAAAATAGTACTTGACTAAGTATAAGTGATAAACAAAATGTAGTTACTCGACGGAGCATATTAATGAAGCCGATGGATAAAAAATTACGTATTGAATAGAGCTGACAACGCCAAAACCCTATGAAAATCATATATAGTGGTAAAAAAAGTAAACTGTTTGACTCAAATTATTTTATTCTCATATTTATATTTATTATAAGAATCAGAACTAAGCATGTTGTAAAAAAGAAGTTAAATAATTAAAAATCGTTTTAAGGTGAATAATTTTAAATTAAAAAAACAAAAATCTCAAATAAAATCAATCTTTCGTTATATTCACTAATCTTATGACAGGTCGAGCAATTATACTTAAGATCTTTTACAAGAACTTGGTAATAAGTCTTGTGATCTTTTTTATTTGAAACTCAAAACTAGGAAATTGAAAATTGATAAAATTGTTTTAGCTTTAATAAAAATTTTATAAATTTTCGAAAATTTCTTTAAACAAAAATAAAAAATCTTATTTTGGACAATTTCCGTCATTTAGAGAGTGACAATTATTGTTATATATAAGTTCTTGTGTTAAATCTCACTTTACTAACAGCATTTTATGTATAAGTTGGATTCAAAATCTTCAAAAAGGTATCGACCAAATTTAATGTCAAAATGGGGTAAAAGCCATAGTTTGATATAGCCTTCAAACCAATAATAACAGCCACCCGAAATCCAAGTAAAGTTCAACCAGACAAATAAAGAGATCTTATTTACTTACGATCAAAGTTTAGATAAACACGCATTTTATCTTAATTGCAGTTCTTACCCTTGAAAAAATGTTCTGTAGAATCCATCTGATTCATGTACAGAAAATTTTTCAAGCGTACTAGCATTATTTGATCCACGGGAAACCCACGATATATATAATAAAAATATTGAATAAGCTTGTATGTAAATTCTTGAGTAGAACTTATATAAAAAGCGTATATAAGATATTATCTTATGCATATGATTATATTGACAGTAAAAATACTAACATGAGTTTTTACTATAACCCAGTTGAAAAAAATTGCATAAATGGATATCTTCTTAGATTAACATAGACGATTCCACGCAGATCAGACATTGATATCATGTGCGTCAAATATATTGCCCACGCATAGCCGAGCCTCGTGGATGTTCAAATTATCCACGTTGATTTCCCCTCATGAAGTTACAAAATATCATAAGTAGATTTTTTATTCAACCTGAGTTTTTCAACGAAATCCTCGTGGATTTTAAGACTATCCATGACGATTTCTTCAAGAAACTTTGTGGATGAATCGTATAATTAGGTATAAATTATTAAAGTCCACGTGTGATATCGACTCTGAAAATGCGATTAATTTTCAAAATCCAAAAACCCCAGGAAATAGGCAATCCTTCTTTTATAAAAGTAAGCCGAGAAACAAAATGATGCGAATCCCGGTCTGTCAAAGTGAAGAAAAATTGCACAGCCCCGTGCAACAGCCAAAGATCCAATACTCCCACGCATACTGATTTCGATTGAATTTAGTCGGTATAATCATACCAATATTCAAGATACTTACAAGGAGACCACATGAAATGCGGGTCACCTGTCCTGAAATTTTTTTTCTTGTCTCTTGGTACCTTATTATGAAGCCCTCTATGTTTAGTTTGATCCAATAGGCCTTAGGGCCCATTTTAAAAATCATTTTCTGATTCATTAAAAAATCTTTATGATTTTCTAACTCGCAACAGAACGTTTTAAGCGAAAAATTTCCAAGTGCACAAATCTTAAAATAAGTCAAAGAATACGTCTGAATTTTTTCAGAATTTCTGAGACCTGCTACCACCTATTTTCAGAAGTCTCTGAAATTTTTAAGAAAAACGTCAAAACAAATTTGGGCCTTTGAATGACAAGTATATATAGTTCTTACGCAAGTTAACTTATGTAAGATTATACGTTTAGATTATGGAAACTTGAATTCTAATTGTGTCAGAACTTACATAAGAACTTACGTAAAAGTTGATTTAACTCAGACGCCCTAAATATAGAAGTAAGTTCTTGCATAATGTAATATAATGACTACTTTTTAGCGACATCTACTGACTAAGTCAGATAGCTCTCTCACATGTACCGCGCTAGGCAATTATCACACTTGTTGTGCATGCTGACCATATACTTTAACCATCATTATACCTATTATATTTAATAAACTATTTTACTTAAAACTAATTTAGTATTATTAATTGCATCGATGTACGCATAAGAACTTATTTAAAGTTTTATGTAAGATATAAGTATGGGTCAAAATACTTTTTTAAATTTTCGTCTGCACGTATGTCACCGATCTTGACGTTTCTTTGGTATGTTACAGTGTTGTAAAAGGGTCCAAAAACCAACATTGCAGACTCCCCCCTCGTACCACCACCCCTGCTATAAACACCTGTTTTCTATCTATATTTATTCTAAAGAACTGAAGCAATTAAAATATCTGAGAAAATTCATGAAGGTAATTTTTAACAATCCAAACAACTTTGATTTTTTTGAGATTTTTGCAGAGCTTCAGGCCTTCAAATAAAATCATTGAAAATTTTGAAAGTCTTGATACGGTGATAGGATGCAATAACCAATCTGAAAATTTGTTTTTTTTTTATTTTATTGAAAAAAGTAACCTCAAATTTTTTTCAGATTTTTTTTGACTCAATGAACGCACTTTATGAACCCAAAAACACCTTTTTTTGACGAAAATATTTTTTATCCAATCCAGTAAGAGTGGTGAAATTTTTAGCGTCAGTAGCTTATAGTTTATAATAGCGCTGTGATTGCATCGTTCGGTAACTTGCTATTGTTTAGTGGCAGCCAAATTCGAGTGTTGTTGTAAGTTGAGAAATTGGAAGATTATAACCTATTGATAGCTTTAAGACTCCTTTTGAATGGTTTTCTCGAGGGGGCGCTGAGGCGAAAAGCCAAATCATTGTATATTTTTACAGTTTATAATATGATCTTCGTTTATTTTATTTTTCCATTTTAAATGGTAAAAAATAGCAAAATGGGATAAGAAAGACGAGAAAGCGCGCGCAGCACGCTGAAAGTCTGTCTAATAGTCATATCTCATTCAATAACGTATTCCATACGTTTATTATAGTCGACAATCACATTTTTCAAAAATTTAAACTCATGCTCATAAGTCAAAAAAAAAAAAAAATTGAAAAATAGATCCCTCGAAAAAATTTTCTGTAGGATCCTGCAAAATTCCTACAGGAGTCCTATTCATGTAGGAATTTCGCGAATCATACATGAAATTTTTTCAAGGGAATGTATCTATGATGAGATAGAGATGAATTTTATTTTGAAAATTAATAAATTAATATTATGTACCAATTTTTTTCAAAGTATTTAGAGGCTAAAACTCAAAATGGATTTGGCGAATAATTGACCACTCTCACACACACAATCCACATTTATAATTATTATTACTGCAGACTTTTATGTGAACGTATGTTATATGTCATGGTGCGCCCTCACGGCGTCGTGTAGTACAAGTGATATATAGCTTACAGACTTGATACTAATGAATGCAATTCAATGTTTATAAGCAAAAAAGGGCTTTATTTCTTATATATTTCTAAAAACAGTTAATTAAGAAAAAAGTTTAATTTGTCTGGAAATCCATCTTCTTATTGTAATCAATTGTCGCTTTTTGTTACTGATTACTTGTAATTCAGGATATTTTTATTGGTTAAATATGACTATATAATTCATTCATCAGGATCTTTACAAAATTCAACTAAACATGTAATAAATCTGACATATTCTAAAGATTATTGATACATATATGATAATACATTGTATTAATAACTGTTATGTTGGGTACTTATTACTTTTCTGTGTATAAAAAGAAATTATTTTTAATTAATAGTTTCAAGATTGAAAAAACCCAAGTGAAAAAGAACAGGTTATTACAAATGAATAAATAGTGTATTTTATTATGTCAAATACTGGGATCAAGTTCTATAATAAAAGAATTTACTACAATGTTGGTAAGTACCAATGTACTAATAAGTTTTATTCTGAAATTTTTATTCTCATCAACTATCACTAATTAAAAACAATTTTGGTTTAAGCTATTTCAATACATATTAAATCATCACTCAATGAAAAATGTGAGAAATCTAATTTTTTTATAACCATGAATGTTAATTTATATTAATAAAATTTAAATTTATTCAATATTTTATGTTTATTTGTGTAAGTGATTGCTAGGTAAGGTTAATGTTTACACAAACACTTTTATTCTAGTCTGCCAGTTTCATTTCATTCTATATTCTATATTTTATGTACATGGTCAAACTTATTTAAAATTTTTATTTAATTTTACCTATAACCTTTTTTTCTATTTATGGATCATTTTATCTCTTTATTATTTTTGAAAAATGAGCAATATTCTTTCATCTCCTGTTGAAATTTAATTTCAATCAATTTATAAATAAGTTAATGATTATTATTAATTAACTCTTATTATTTTGTATTTTTTTATTTAATAAGTTTTACAAAAGTAAAAGAAATTTTCACAAAACATGCTGTGAGTTGAAAATATTAAATTATAATTTAGGTCTAACAATATTTCAAAGGTTTTTAGTTGCTGCTTGGTTAACAAAATTTTATAATCATATTTGAGAGAATAATTAAATCTTACATTAGCTAATTTTAAGCTACAAATTTAGTTTTTTAGAGAGGTATTTCTGTATCAATATAAATTTAAAATTCATTTTAAATATTTTTTGTCTAATAATTTTGTAGTATGATCTGACCAAATATCTATTTTTAACTGGTACTATAATAGTTTTAAATAGCAGAAACACATGAATAATGTCCCAAATTATTTTAAAACCCTTTGATATTACTCTGACTGTCATTAGAAATATAACTTATTTGGTAATAAAGAAACATTTCAAAGATATAATCGCATGTGTGCCAATACAAAAATTAATTTTTTTATCAATTATTACTTTTTTTCCAAATTTTTTTAATACAATTTGGCTTTCAACCAAAACTACTTTTATTGTTATTTCTCAATATTTATTAACAATCAAGTACTAAATTGTTTATTTTGACCAGTTAACAAAAATAACATTAGAATTTTATTTGAATGTTCTACTTGGCATGCAATTAAAATTGTAGTCTTTGTGTTGTAAGAAAGTTTACATTAATTCATACATTATATCTAGTTACTTTTCACAATTTGTTTTTTAGATACAATAAAAATGTCAATTATTAGAATTCATAATTGTCTTAGAATTAATGGATTTTGTTTGATATTATTGAATTGCAAACCTGTAATAGGTTAATAGATCAAATTACTAGCTGATAAGATCAATATTGTTTTTGCTTACAAGAGATAATAAATAGCTGTATATGTCGAACATTATTTTTTGATTTTTCTCAAATGCGCTTACTGTTGTTGAAAAAAAAAATGGTACAGCCAATTCAATCACAGATACTCAAAATTGTTTATTTCAAGTTCTGAATCTTCAGTTTCTCTTCTAGAATTTATATGGTCTCCATAAAAATTGTATGTCAGGATTACACCACTTAAAGCTTTACTTAATGGAGCCATACGCCTCTCCACTCTATTAAATGCCAAGCGTCCAGGTGCATAAGTCATTATAAATACTGCGTTCAGCGCAAATTCTTTAAAGTGTTTCGTAGTATAAGCTATTGTCTTATGATACCTTCACAAATAAAAATACACAATAAATATTCTAGAGATTTTATGAATACTCAAAAATAATATTTACATTTTATAATACCTTGGATTCTCCTCTGATCCTCCATCAACAGATATTACCAGTACTGGCTTAACTTGATTATTGTGGTCATACATAATTGGTTTAAAACTTTCCAGTTCATACAACTTGCGAATATCATTTGAGTGACTTGCTGCTGTTGAACTCGAATGCTTGCCACTTCTTATGGCTACATATGTCAGGTCACTGTATGTCACGTTTTCTGAAGAGCCAGAAGAATTTTGCTTTATCTGGATCCCAGCATATACCGAAGGGATTAATGTGTGCTTGCTTGCTATCACCCAGTCGTGATCAGGTAATTGCACTCGATAATCCAAATGTATCAGTCTAGATGATTGCTTGTTTGCTGCGGTCAGTCCGATTTTGACACGAACCTTGTCATCTTGAGATATATACGAAACTTAATTAGGTCCTAAAATTGAGGCCAACGCTTCTACATTTCTTATTGTTGCAGTACAAAATTTCCCGTCTGGGTGAATTTTATGCAGATCGTTTTGCGGTTTGCAGAGCTTAAATGATAGTGTTTTCACATGCCGCATACCGTCGAGTGTATTGCATCGTTTCGGAAGTAATCGGGTGTAAATTGCTCTTTGCGAGATGTGAAATCCTTTTTCATTCAATTTTTTGGTTAAATCTTGCAAAGTTGTAAAAGTTCTGATTTCCTCGGTCTGACGACGTTCATCTGCTGCACTATTGAAAATCGCTATCTCGCAAATTGTTTTCAGGAGATCTGGGTATTCGACTTCTTTCATTGGACGCCCACCGGTAATACATTTTCAACCTCAGAGCTCACACACTCTTCAAGGGTCCCATTTTTGTTTTTTTTCTTTCGAACGAAATCTTTTTTGACTCGCAGCATTTTGTATTTTGCTTTACTAATTTTGTTTTATTTTTTATCAACTCAATTTTTGCTTTTTTAATTTGTAGGTTTATATTACTTCCTCAAAGATTCGTATCTCGAATTAGTGAGAGAGAAGTCAATTGACTTTTTAAAGCCTGTATTTTTAATTTTGAGTTATCTTGTTGGATATTTCCTCTTAAGATTTTTTTTTCTATCTTTTCAACCATTGATTGATCTACAGCTTGTTCAGCATCAACGCTCTCTTGATCGACACTTTCGCGATCAACACTCTTTTGAGAGATGATGTAGAGGGAACTGGCTGACTACCCGTAGAAAGTGTTGTATTTGTATTATTAGAATTCTGTAAATATTGAAATACATAGGCTAACCTCAAATTGATCTTATACAATAGTACATAGTATGATATAACTTCGATTGAATATATGTTTAAAATACCTTTCTAAAAAATCCAAGCAATGATTTTTGTAGTATGTATTCTTAGGAGCTAGTAAATTCAACTCGTTGATTCTAGTTTTTATAAAGATGCTAAATTCCTCGGGATTCTTATAACCCTCTTTCGCCCTATTCAACGAAGTATAGGTAATTTTTTGATTTTCTCCATTAGAATTTTGAGGGCGAGTTCTCAAATGAGCTTTGTAATAATCTTGATACAAATCTCCTTTTACAGATGTCATTATAAATTTTATAACGAAAGCACTCGATAAGGAAGGTAACATATGTCCAATCTGTTGTATCTTGATTACTGATGTACTAACGTACATTCGTTTAGCATTGAACATAATAGTAATGTAAGGCAGAAATGCAATTTATCGACGGTTAATTGATCTTTGTAGCTTTAAAGCGACGATTATGGACGGTAACAGCATCTATACTCACTAGTATTTTAAGGTGCAACCGCACTCGACTTTTCTGCTCCTACTCGATTCATTTGAAAATATAAAGTATAAAATGTGTGCTCACGTAGCGTGCCTACTAAATAATAGTTCTGATCATAATACTATTGATGTGTATAATTCTATAAAAAAAATTTAATCCGGATGTAATATTCGAATTACGTAATATTTTTAAAATGTCTCCCTGCCCCCCTACATTATTATTGGTAAAGAAATTCGCCAACCATCCCCCTTCCAAAGGTCATTACGTAATTAATGGAAGGCCGCCTACAACAAATGTGATCAAAAGCAAAAAATTGGAAATTTCATCAATGTTTATAAAATATTCCGTAAAATCTTAACTAAAACTTTGATTTTGCACTGAGATACAGCTATTTCCGCGATCCTAGTTCCTATACTTCAAGTGTTAACTTTTTTTCTTCTTTTACGTTTTCTGATGAGTTGTTTTGGTCATATTTCGTAACTTTCAGAGGGAACCGATTGAGCTTCGGTGCCAGGGTGCGTAGACTTCTTCAAAATATCAATGCTTACAAACACAAGCACTTTAAGAGTGATCGAACACGCAGAGTGCTGCGGCGGCACATCGGCCTTACTGGGTAAGGCCTAGCTGAAATGCCGTCGACAAGAATTTTTATGTGGCGACCTCTTGTACGTCCACTTACTTGTCCGAGGAGGTTCTGGGCCGAGCTGTTGGGCCCAGGTGACTCATCTTTCAATTTTGGCAAAGGAAATCTGAATATTTAAGGCAATCCGCAAAAATCCGCGAGGATGGACTTATTCTGAAATTTGGCAAAGCGAGGCAATTTACTGTACGACAATAAAAATTAATTACTCGTGAGAAGTAGTCACTTTATTGAAATTTCAAAGTTGGCTACCAGGTGCGCTGGAGGCGTTCTCGTTTTACCCTCGGTGGTAGCACCTTTGTTACGCAGTAGCAGGTTACATCCGTGACTATTTGGCCAGGATACCCACCGCAATGTACGCGTAGTCGAACGAGCTTGGCTGACGCGCGCGTGCTTTGCTCGTTGACTAGTAGTCACGTGGCCAACGATTGCAAAGTCGCGTGTACACCGCGCCGTATACCTGCGTACGATCCTGAACAATGCAACACGGTAACGCACCATGTTATTCACTCACACTCACAATCAGCTTGCCACCGCTGCGACGAGTCACACATACACAAACACACACGCACCAGCACGATGTTGCAATCATGCGACACGGCCAAGCAATAAACCACCTATGAAAAACTTAACCGCCAACCTCTTCGCCGGCTCTTCTTATCGTCGACGTCCTTGGCTGAAGTCGCTTCAATCTTTGGCCTTTTTCTCGAGCTCGTCTGATCTTAGCCTTCGTCGGCTCACTGCTCTCGACAGTAAATAATCTGTAACATCGGCCTAGGTGGCTCTGGAATTTTTACTTTCGGCCTCGGCCATTAATCAGCGAATAATGCGTCGCGACACTCTTCCTGCACTCTACAATGCACTCGTCGTCGGCGATTTCACCACGGCACACTTGATTCGGCCCCTGAACTATCGCTTTTTTACTCAAAACTGTGCGGCCTGATTTTGCGAACCCTAGGCTAATCGAAAAACACGCGAAAATCTCATTCGTTCATATATTCTCGTGGCGAAATATGCCACCGCGTTTCGCCGGTGTACGGGCTGCCTGCGGTCAGACGAGACGTTCGAACTCTCGAATTTGTGCCTTGTCCCAGTGCTCTGCACGTATACTTGAGCACACTTTTTTATTATTTTATGTTATTTTTTTATTTAATAGTTCTACGTGTATTTTACGTGAGGATAAGGCAGTTTTTATACACCCCAATATTCTAAAAATTCGTCAAAATTTTTGAGTTGATTGAATTGAATTTGTCGAATTCATTGACAATTAACGTGGCACCTTGTTGAATTTCGGATGTAAAGTTGAATATTTAATAATAGTGTCCAATCAAGGAGACTCGGATCGGTTGATCCTAGGAGACGTAAAAATCTTTTCACATCACAATTATCATCCATCTCAGCCAGCCTTGTTTTCCCCGAATCGAGAGTAGATGTAGCTGTCGCATGTTTTACCTCTGGGTTACCCTTTGTTTTTGACACTGTTGCATCGTTGAAAACCTTCACGATTTGCTCAAGTTATAAACTGTGAGCATCTAATTTGCGCCAACTTTTGAGAGATCGAGACCGTACCTAAAAGCGACCCTCAGACTCGGAGCTACAAATTGACATCTATACAATTTATACAGACTACAAATAACCTCTAAATCAAGTCAAGTCTTGACCAAGTCAAAAACGATTACATCTTAAATACGATATTGTCAGCTTCAAACGCCAAATTAAGGTCGTTCGAGTTTCGCAGGCTTAAACTTGCTTCTCCAGAGCTCCATTCACCGGTGGGAGCATTATTTTGGGACCAATTTAATCATCATTTCGCAACCATGTCATTGGCGTGTTTTCTTATTATTTGTACAGTGTATCGCTCCTTTCCGCCGTACGCATTTGATCAGGCGATTAGTAGCGTTAATCGCGACGTAAGTGCAGTTCAGAATGGATACGAGGCAAAAGCTAATTTTGGTTGGATCAAATAGGTCGATACCGTTATGGTCAGAATTTTTGGGGCTCTCAGGTCCCTGAGACACTACACGTACGCACTCACCATGCAGAATTGTAGAAATTTAGTAACATCACTTTTATTTACCCACTTCGACAAAATTGTCTGAACAAAACACATAGCCTCCTTTCGTCAGCAACTGAGCTGGTTGACGGTTGAGCGCCACCTCCAGTATTTTATAAATACGCTTGCATTATCAGTACTATCGCACAACAATCCGTTGCATCTTTCGCAAAGATTCACTCGTGCGGCAGGTGTGTTAGACCAACTGGACCCACTAAGATCAAATTCACCCTCCTTCAATCACAAACCAGTAAAAACGAGCACCATGAAAAACCCATTTGTCTATGTAGAGACTACCCTTGTCAATGCTCATGTTACGCGGTGATTAGACTTTACTCCAACTGTTTCACAGCTTAAAACAATGGCCTTCAACAAACTCCTTGCCATTGACTCAAACATATCTTCTCTCTCTTACTCAACTATACTTTAGTACCTATTATTCAACTCTATCTAGCTCAGCCTAACTTAACACAATCTTCCTATATCAGAATATCTTTTTATTTAACCTTTCCGCTTCACTTTCCTCACTTCACATTCATGCGCACCACTTCACCACTAACATAAACGTGCTCCACCGACGATTTAAAATTGCAATGCTTTATATAATTAGGCATTGTCCCGCTGTGAGTTAACCGCGAGGTGGCGCACTTGTGTTATCCGACGTCATGCGCACGGTACGCTTTTCGCGAAAATGTATATAGCATAAAGAAGTTCGTCGTCTGCTTTACAGACGTTACACTGTGTAGAAATAATAATAGTAATTTTTTTTTTTTTTTTTTTTTTTTTTTTTTTTTGTTGATTACGGCCCTTTCTGCTACTAGGCTAATTGGCCAACCTAGCCGTTCTACCTAACGGTGGGTCTTGCGTGTATATGTAAGTGTGTGTTAGTGTATTAGCGTGTACCTATAGTCGATATGGTTGCGCCTCCCATACCACTGAGGTTACGCTTTGATAATGGTGTGACCCCCAACACCAGAGACCGCAGTTGAAGTGCACCGGCTTTTTTCCAAGGAAAATTTCCTCGGTATACACCCAACGGTGCAAACCCCGCAGAAAAAATCCTCGGGAAAAAACCAGCCCACCGCCGGGATTTGAACCCCCGACTTCTCGGTTGAGAAGCAAGAGCTCAAGCCCCACAGCCACCGCGGCCTCCACAATAATTGTAATAAGTCGGATAACACAAGTGCGCCACCTCGCGGTCAACTCATATCGGGACAATGCCTAATAACGAAAAATTTATAATATAAAACGAAATATTTATATATTAACGTTAAAACGTTCTATTACTATACTTTATTGTATCTAATCTGCCAGACAGGGTCTCCCTAAGACAGAATAAAGTATTTAACTATTTATCTATCTATATCTCTCGTATAAGTTGAGAGCATCATTCAAAAATTGATGATCTACAAATAGATGGGCTAAGCCATAGTTAGCGGGATGTCCAAAAAAATATTTTTCTTAAATTATGTACTTTTGAAGAGTACATTGAAAAGTGAAAATCCTGAAAGTTTCAGCCCTCTAGGTCCAACCCTATTGGATTATCAGGGCCTCACACTTGAATTTTCTTTTTCTGCTGAAATTCTGATTTTCTGGGGTTAATATGAAAAAAATTTCTTGAATCATGGTTTTTAATGTAAAATTTGATGTAGAATTCAAATTTGTATTTAAAAATCATATTTACAGCTTGAAACCCCATAAAACAGATATTTTCCTGTGTTAATCATACAACTGTACAAAAATAAATGTGTTCGTCTCCATGGATCAGGCCAATATTGTAATATGTTCATCGATACATCAAAATATAACTTCTGATGAATTTTTGTTATTGGCAGACAAACAGACTTTATTATTCAGCTAGATTTAGTCAAGAAACATGGTTTTTCTCTAATTTTCCTTGATTCTTGACTCATATTAAGTTCAATACTGAATTCTGTTTGTCTGCCGATAACCAAAATTTATCAGAAGTTGTATTTTGATGTATCGATGAACATATTACAATAGAGGCCTAATCGAAGGAGACGAACACATTTATTTTTGTATAGTTACTTGATTAATGCAGGAAAATATCATTTATATGGGGTTTCAAGTTGTAAATATGATTTTTGAATACAAATTTGAATTCTACATCAAATTTTACATTAAAAACCATGATTCAACTCAGATTTTTCATATTAACCCCAGAAAATCAGAATTGCAAGCAGAATATCAGCAGTAAAAGAAAATTCAACTTTGAGGCCCTGATAATCCATTAGAGTTGGAATAATCCATTAGAGGGCTGAAACTTTCAGGATTTTCACTTTTCTATGTACTCTTCAAAAGTACATAATTTAAGAAAAATATTATTTTGGATTGGATTTACTTGCTACGTGATTCTGACGTTAGTACTTCATCAATTTTAATCTATAAGGTTTCAACATTTTCAAAAAAGTACCCTCCTCCACCAAAGCAAAAAAGGGGAAAGGGGAGAGGAGCAAAGGTTTGGATAAGAATTTTTTCAGACAATCAAGTGTAGTATTATGAACATATATTACTACATAACAAGGAAATTTTAACTATTTTGATTTATATGGATATTTCTGAATTCAAGCTCAATACACCATTCGGTCCCCTTAAATATAAATACTCATTATTATAACTTGCATTATTACTATGCTCATTATTATGCCCAATTAATATTTTGTTAATTTCTTTTCCAGATCTCAAAGTTTGCTTGGCCTGATTAAAATGAATAATGATACGAAACCGTAAAATCGTATGCTTAAGAATTAATGGACAAGGAAAATTTTTGAAGAAAAAGTCAATATTAAGCCATTCCAAAACTTATAAACTCATTCGAATGAATTTTTATTTCACGCAAAAAACGAATCACGATCAATTGACTACCAAACGAGAGGAAATACACTTCCAAAGGAGTGAGTACGATATTCATCAGGAACATGGATATGATCCATCAAAAAATTGTCTTTTAGACAAGTTGAAATACTTTCCAGCTGCTGTTTGCCTACATAGAAATAATAAACATTTGAAGCTGCATCTTCATTCGTCCGCATGGTCCAGTCGACCTAATACTTATCTTTTAAATCAAGTTCGGGTTTTATTAATGTTGACTGAATTAATAACTGACAAAAATTTAGAAAAAAAATTAACTGTAAGTTACCATCTAAAATTGAAAAAGATAAATTTGAAGTTAAAAGATAAAAGAAAGTATGCACTTCTGCATTTTTATCTCCATGTATTGTGTCTAAAGCATAAGTCAATTAAACTAAGTACGCCATTTCTATTCCATAACTTATCTGATCCATTAATTTGTTTGAAAGAACTTTGTTTAAAACGATTTTGTAAATTTGATATAAAAAAAAGTTTTAAAAATTTTTTAAGAAAATTAAGATTACTAAAACTACGGTATTCAAAAATGTTACACAATACAAAAGAAGCAAATGCTGATTTACCAAAAAAAACTTATTTATGCCCACCTTGTGATATTAACTTTGATATTTCAAGTCTTTTTTTTCACATACGTCAGGTGCATCATCGCTTTTTATGTTTACATTGTCTTGAGATGTTTAATAGAGCTGAAACGCTGTTGCACCATTTATCGAAAAATCATAATATTTCTGAATCTGATTTTTTCACTGCTAAGGACCTTCTCAACTCACTGTCTGATGAGTTTTCAATCATTTGCTGCACATGTGAAAACATATTTACTAAAAATGAAGAATTTAATGAACATTTTTGTGAATGTACTATGAATTTTCCCGACGAATGCTTACAATTGGAAGAAATAAAAATTTCTGAAAAATCTTGGGATTCTCTAGATAATATTTCTATAGATCGTCTGAATGACGCGACAAAACCAAATGAAATGTCTTATTTGAAGCATGATTTCAGTGTCGAGCCGAGCACTTCTTCTGAATCATTAGAAAATATATCAAAATATCAGTCGAGTGAAAATATTTTAACAAAATTGGATAAATTAAGTGAAAACAAACAATATGAGACCGCTGCAGGTGTGAAATCAAAAATACAACTCAACCTTTCACCGGGTGCGGATATGGATGAAAAAACTGCAATACGTACGGATTCTAAATTAGAAGCTAAACCTAACGAAGACCAAAATGATGTAGGTCACTTACGATTGAAAGAGCTTAATATCGATTCTTATAAGTTATCTGAATTAAACCGCAATCAAACTTTAGATCAAAAACATTCTGATAATTTAAATAACAGTAAAAATAACTCTCAAAAAGCAATTGCGGTCCTTCATGACTTTACAAAATCGAATGAAGATTTTTACTCTCAATTTGATAGTGCTACTAAAATTGTTGAACGAAGTAAATCCATCGATGTTGATAATAGTACTGAATTTAAATCAAGTTCGATACTAAAAAACAAAGACAGTTTAGAAAACGTTGAAGCTTGGAAAAATATCTATGACAGCATTGATAACTCGCCCATCGATTCAAATTATAATGGTGATCAATTTAACCTAGAAAATATTTCAACATTTGATGTTGATCAATTGAATGATGTAGCCTCTAATTTAAATATTAAAATTAAAATTGACCTCGAAATTGAGAACCTTTTAGAAAATATAAAATTAGATGATTTAATGAGATATTGTGTTAAAGCTGCATATGATTTTTGTACTTATTGCAACCATGTTCGTCTTATAGCCGTTAATGGAAAACAACTTGGCTTACACTTACTCACGAATCATGAATTTCAATTTGAATCTACGTCGAATACGTCAGAACAGCACTTATTGATTACTAAATTGAAGGAATGTTCTGATACTCTGGATAAATATTATTTAAATTTTGATTCTTCGAAAGCCGAAACCGGAATACATAAATTCTTAGATCTTAAGTATTATGAGTGTTTTATCTGCAGATATAAATCAATTTCGCATAAAGATCTCTGCTCACATAATCGAAAAATTCATCAAAAACTAATTTTTAAATGCAGTATGTGCAATACAGGATTTAATAGCTATAGTGAACTAATTTGCCATCTTTGTTCTGGGTTTGCTGTAAACTATGAGAATATATATTTTAGATGTTGTTATTGTTCGATTACCGGGTTACCGTCTGCATTCAGATTAATGGTTCACCTTCGAAAACGTCACAATGCTTGTGATATTTGTTTGAAAATTATATCTGATCAACAAACATTATCAAACCACATTTGGAAACATAAACTGCCTCATTCTTGTTATAAATGTGGAATATCGTATAAACATAAATCTGACATTGTAAAACATTTATTTTGGAAGCATGGTACAGAAAGTGTTTCTTGCCAGAAATGTCTACAAAAAAAATGGCCATACATTTATCACTTTTGTACTCCACCGAATGATTTTGTTTGTGACGACTGTGGTGTTAGTTTTACCAAAGCTGTGGCATTAAAAGTACACAAAAGAATTCATGAAAAAAAATTTCCACATGCATGTCTTGTGTGTCAAATGACTTTTATTTCAAAAAAACTACTAAGTAAACATGCCGAAACTCATAAGATAACTCCAGTCGTATCAACAAAAGTTGAAATTTTCGATACGGCAAATAAACATTTTGATGATTCTCACACAAAAAAATTGAATTCTAATAAATGTAAAAAATTGAGACAGCGTAAAAAAAAAGACTCAACAGATTCAGTTGGTAAGGCAATAGATATTGCAAATATACCTCCTCTCAATTTATCATCTGACAGTGATAACGAAACAGATGATAAAAGAATTACTGACGCCGATAATAAAACATTAAATATTGGTACCAATTTATGTTTTAAAGACTCTATTCATTCCTCTTTTCTGCCGAGTGTTTCTGAAACAATGAAAAATTTGAGTGATGAAAAAATAACTGAAGAAGAAAAAAAACAAGAAGAACAACTAATGGATAGTATATGGAGTAATTTTAAAACTTATACTGAAAGTTTAGAAAAGCAAAACATTTTTCAGCAAGATGATGTAAATTATTTAAGCACAAGTACGGTTTCATTTTCACTCATTGATCACGATTATTGTTCGACACCAATAATAGATCAAAATATTCCTCATAAATTTTCATTCGATTCCAAAGAAAAAGCCATCGTTGATACAGATTCAACAAAAGAAAAACTGGCCTGTGAAGTTCCAGATTCTGTTAATGAAAGTTCTACTATTTGTGAGAACCCACTCAATATTCTATCGAGTAACTCATCTCCTTCTAATAATTCATGCAGTTGCTCTTGCGTTTCAGATTGTAGTTGTAGTTCCTCCAGTTCAAGCGATACATCTTCGATTGCTTCAATTTCAAACCGTAGTCCGGTTCATCGTAATTACGATATGATAGAATCTGAAAATATGATAGTGACGGAGGTTGTAGAGACAGAAAAAAATATTACAATAGAAACCACTCCAGACTTGTCAAAAACTGTCCATTCTGAATCGATCAATCAATCAATAATAACCAGTCAATCAATAGCAGAATCGGATTTGTTCACTAGTGAATCGGATACCGATGAAGATTTTTACGAAAAAATTCCTGAAAGTTGTTACTTAGACAGTAAAGTTTCAAAATCCATCAGTAATTCAGATAACGGCAGTAAAAATGCAAACTCTATAAATTTAAAAAAAAAAAATAATTTAAATATAATTTTGAAAAAAAACAAAACAACTAAAGCATGTTATTTTATACCTGAATCAAAATCTTCAAGTAATGAAGTAAGGTCGGGTTTGCAAATTCAAAGTGAAATGATGAAAGAGAGTAAAGTATTACCTGATATCATATGTAACAACTCAACGATTTCAAATCCGTTAAAAATTTTACTTCCGGCTGAAAAAAAATCCAAAAAAAGATTTTCCGTAAGAAGAAGAATTCCAAAACGTTTTTATGGAGATTCAAGTGATGAAGAAGATCATAAAACTAAACTTAAAAAATTCAAAACATCAAGTTCAATATCAGTTTATGAATCTCAACTTAATTCATCTTTTGTGTCTGATCGCGAAGTACTCGAAAATGATGAGGTAAATAATGAACTAAACACAACAAAAGATAGTTATCGTGAAAGTAAATTATTTAAATTTGATCCACCTGAAATTTCTAATAACATGAAAATAAAGAAACCTTTCATTCGGACAAGAAATTTACAGATGAAAAAAGACAAACATACTAATTATTGTTATTGTCGCTGTGCTTATGATGAAAGTTCTGAAATGATAGCTTGTGATAGTGGTGTTTGTTCAATTGAATGGTTTCATTTCAAATGTGTTGGTATCACTACTCCTCCTGAAGGAGCGTGGTATTGTTTTGACTGTAATAAATTAACCTACGAGTAGCTTTTTTATTTAATCTTGGCATTATAATTAAGTTATTGAATGTAATAAAAAACCATATTTTAAATGGTTTGTACATATTTTATAGGAGTATTCTTTATATCTAGTTAAGTAGTAAGTGTTATAAAATATATTTGTCGTCTTATTTTTTTATGTACTGTAGTACTTCTTGATGAATATGCACAATGCTGTAAGATATACCATCGCAATTTAAAAAATATTAAATTCAATCTTTATCAATCATTTGTGGAATTTTTTATTTTGAATTTACTGATATTATTGTACCTCATTTTAATATAATTTTGTTGACACTAATAAATGACATTACTTGGGTCAGAAATGGTTAATTCATCAGCTGTAATTAAAACTAATTTTTTCCATCATTACCATAAATTTTACTCTAACCACACACTCTTGGATTAAGCTTATGTTTTGAGACTATTTTTATTCCATTATTTCATTATCTATAATTATTGCCAAAAAATAACTGATGAGAGAGGTGACTAAGCTTACCGAACTAGTCAGGTAAGCTTGCGGTCAAGAGATACAGGCACACCAAAAAAAATGAAGAGTTCAGTTCTAGAGACTAGACCTTGTAGATTATATTTATGAGATCGCCGAATCTGACGTCCGTTTTCTAGGTTTGCTCATTTTTAAGGTCATTTGAAGGTCATAATAAGAAAAAGCGGTAAAAAATCTGAAAAGTGTATGTCCACGCCCCTTGAACTCTTGCAAAGTAGAGGTATAAAAAATTTGAAAATACCATATTTTACGTATTTTGTTTCGTGGAATCTAGTGGTAACCTTAGAATCGATTTTTCAATGAAAACTTAGATTTATTATTTAAGATTTCAAAAATGCAGATAATCTTGTTTTTACGTGTCTTTCATTGTTTTTAAACTCACTGCATAGGTAAATTATATATGTGATTTTTCGTACTGTCTCATTTCATTCTTCAAGTTCGACCTTCGAATAACCTTGAACGTAAATTCATGAAAGTTATTTGAGTTCAGCAACCTCAAAAAACCATGTCAAATTTTTTTCAGACTTTTTTTACTACTTTATTTTAATATGAACTTTCAATGACTTTTTAAATGAGTCAATCTATAAAAATTCAGATTCAGTAACTAAAACTGAACTTTAATTTTTTTTTGTGCCTATGTTATTGATTTGCCTTTAGCTCGTTTATTCGGAACGATTTTTTCCAGTTTTTTCAGTAATTGTAACTAATTGAAGGTGATTTAGTTTTAACACGAGTTTGAGTTAGTTTCTCATGAAACTTAGCTTGACAAGTTGTCAAAATTTCAACATGATTTCGTTTATTCATTTATTCCTGGTAATTTCAATATAGGCTGTTAGAAAAAACCATCGAATTTAAATACATTTAATGCTTTACTTTTCATAACACTAGCTGGATTGTATCCAAAAACTACTCAATTATGGTTTCAGCCATTACTTCTGGATAAGTATGTTAAAATTTTCAATAAAACCTTTGCTCGTGACTGATCATAATGAGTGAGTGCAATTATATTAATATTCTCGAAGGCACCGATATTAGATGGCACATGCAGCCGTAGGAACGTGTGCTTTAGCACTGTAACCATCTAGCGCCTGCTCGGCGTCCGATCTTCACCATTACCAACTCCGGAACGTGAAAAAGCAATAGTAGATCCCTGGCTATTGAGGACTGAACGATACCGGCACGCCGCGTAGCGGCGAAATTCTGTACTTGCGTATGAGTGTAAATTTCACCAAATAACATGGGAAATACGATAAATGTGAAAAATAACCCTGCTGAAAAAAATCATGGGAAAAACCATATGATGTTTTGGTATGATTAATCATATGATTTTTTATATGACTGATTTATCATATGATTTTTCATAACAAAGGATGGATTTTTCACAACATTTTGAATAATTTAAAAGAGTTTGAAGTGAATTATAAAACTGCCGAACTGCTGAATCATCAAACTGCCTGAATTTGTACCGTTTTGTAAAAGATTAGCATCGATATTTTCTTGATGATAAGATAGCATAGTTATATCTAGATTTTTATGCCTACTTATTTTATAATTCACTTAAAATCAAACTCTTGTAAATTATTTAAATTGTTGTGCTCTAAATGTACATTTTCTTTTGGCTATTTTCAAAAGTAGTTTCTTCATTTTCAATGATTTTAATAAATTTAGACTTTAAATTAAATTTTGGCATTTCCTCTTCAATGGTTTTTATATTAAAATAAGGGTTTGCTTCCCTTGCGGGGAAATCCTATGATAAATCATATAAAAAATCATATGATTAATCATGCCAGAACATCGTATGATTTTTCCCATGATTTTTTTCAGCAGGTAATATATGTTGCACAATGAATTTTGTACATTTATCATTCTTAATTTAAAGTACATACTTAAAAATGAATTTATCAATTTTAATCCTATTAAAAAGTTGACAAACAAGTGTTGATAAACGACATTTTACGTCAACTCTCCCAGTGCCGTTAGCCTAGTCGAATTGCTAAATTTGTAACTCGCTGTAAAAGTACCCAAAGCACCTGGAAGAAAAGAGTAACACATCAATTCGATGGGAAATTGCCTCAGTTTTCTGCTGCTTAATCTTATGGTATCGTGCAGTCCTCAAAAATATCATAATTTTTGGGAGTGAGTCCCTTTGAAGCTAAGCTTAATCCATTAAGTCCGGGACAGACACATTTTTAACACTTTTTTTAACCGTTGTACTTTTGCTGAAAATGGGGTCTGCAGAACTTGCGAGTAAGCATACTCAATACAAAATTTAATGAACTTTCCGAGTCCGGTGTCGGATGGTTTTATAAAAAAAAACATGATTTCGAAAAAAAAAATTTTTTCTTTTCGAATTTTCACATGAAAATCCAAAAATTTCTTATACTTCTCCATTTTTTATATTTAAAATCCTATTTTACTATTTAGAACGATCATAACTTTAAGAGAAGGACCCATGGACGCTTTATTTGTACCGAAGAGGCCAGGATTTAACAGATTTTTATGTGAAAATGTAAAAAAGAAATATATATAGAGCATCGTAAAGATTATTGCAAAATTCTGAAGACTTTTCTGAAGACATTAAGAAATGATAAATCTATTTTGATGCTCTAGATGAAGCTAGCAGGCTTCAATCGGAAACTTGAAACAGTCAAATTTTACTAAAATTTGACAAGGAATTTAAAAAGAATATTTTCAAATTTTCTTTACCGGAACCATCTGGTTCTATGAATCTTTTTTTGCTATAAATTACATTTTTTGACCCTATAAATGATCGCCTTCAATTAAAAAATCTGAAAAAATTGAGGTTATGCTTTTTGTTGAAAAAAACAAGAAAAATTTTTTTCCAGATCTTTCAAGGCTCCGTATCACCCTAAAAAAATTATTTTCGTCAAAAAAAGTTTTTTGGCTTCAAAAGGTACGTTCACATCTCTGAAAAAATTTGAAAAAATTTGAGGTTACTTTTTTTAGTGTACTAAAAAAGTGAAAAATTTTTCGAAAAGGTTATTGCATCCTAACGCCGTACATGAATTTTCAAAATTTTCAATCATTTTTTCTGAAGGCCTGAAGCACTTGAAAAATCTAAAAAAATTCAAGGTTGTTTGAATTGATAGAAAGTATTTTTGTGAATTTTTTGCAGATTTTTTAATTACTTCTTTTTAAATGAACGTTTATAGGGGAGGAGTTTAGTTTAGTTTAGTTTAATATTTATTGAAGCCAAATCCCAACGGGGCAGTTCGGCTGGCAAAAATTATATACAAAGTAGAACAAAAATTATTTGATCTGTCTCAAACAGCTTCACAAAATTGCAAATGATAACAACAAAAATTTTCGACAATAAGTCCGGTAAGATCATGGTAACATATAAGGCAGATTATAGTCAATAATAATTTTGATAATTTGCAAAATTTGGCAATTCAACTAAATCTCTAGCACTTGGACAATTGATTTTTAGGTAGTACAATTATTTTCAATTAATGCCAAAAATTTTTCAATAAAACAATTACAATTTCATTACAATTTTCAATAAAAAAAAAAACGTATAAAAGCACAGGCTCTTCCATTGATAAAAATCACTCCATTTCAAATGTCTTCATACGATCTTGCTGAAGTCATTTTCGGTGACTATAGGTATGTGTGAAGAGTTATTATCCTTGCTTACAATAACCGTATTATTTCGAATCCATATCCGGGAATAATTATATTTATTGGCTAATTCTCTGGCTTGACGTTTTAGTCTGTGTATGCAGGGAAACTCCACTCCGTACAAATTGATTATCGAGTATGAGCAATCGTCTTTTAAAAGTTTTTCATAGTTTAGTTGGCCATTTTTTATCTTAATCTGAATCACAAAGTCACGCACTGCAGTAGACTTAAAAGTAGCGATGTAAGTGCGATCTTTTCTTCTCATATTTTTCTGGTCATCCGACTTTGGCAGTAAACGAGTTTTGATAACATCGCCTTTCATAGAGCTTAGGTTTAGATGGTCAAGGACCGCATCAACGATCTTGCGTGGTTATTTCGATGAAACAGATGGAATTCCACAAATTTTCGATTCTGTGCTCGAAGCATCGCTGTACTGCATTGATTTTAGAATGCGCACCTCACGATGAAGAAAGGCATTATCCGCTTCCAATTCCTCAATGCGTTTACTCTGCTTAACGACTTCCGATTTCATGCATTTTAGTTCCGATAATAAGGCTTGAGTAGTGTCATTATTACTAGTTAGCAGCTTGAAGATAATAATTAATTTGTCAGAATCAGACGAAGATTCAAATTTCCTGATGTCCGTATTAATAAAGTTCAAATTATATTTTAATTTTACCTTTACGCGCCTGAAATATAAATTCATTCATTGAGATTATTTCAGTAGTGGACGCTGTACCATTTACTTACCCATTATTTATTATTTAACTCTGCGATTGTTGGAAACTAATAAGTATTCTCTTTGGAAAACTCGCGGGAAGTTATTTTAATACATCTGATTGAAAAGGAGCATCTGAAAGATGATTATTCCATGTTCAATCGTAATATTTATTAGTTTTAATTATTATACACCGAACGAAAAATATGGGCTCAGGCCGGACTCGAACCGGCGACACTTTGCCTATAGCCAGCAAGTGCTCTACCATCTGAGCTACCGAAATTTGCTCACATCATCGTTATTTGGTGTACAAGAGGTCGAGAGATGTTAATTAGTCACTAATTTTCTAAATTGATAGGTCACCACCGACTGGGACCTGCCCTTCTTCCACCGTGGGCTTAGTTTTTATTTTAATTTTTCCTTTACGCGCCCGAAATATAAATTCATTCATTGAGATTATTTCAGTAGTGTATTCTTTGTACACCAAATAACGATGATGTGAGCAAGGGTTCCGGTAGCTCAGATGGTAGAGCACTTGCCGGCTTTATACGCAAAGTGTCGCCGGTTCGAGTCCGGCCTGAACCCATATTTTTCGTTCGGTGTACAATTATTAAAACCAATAAATATTACGATTGAACATGGAAAAATCATCTTTCAGGTGCTCCTTTTCAATCAGATATATTAAAATAACTTCCCGTGAGTTTTCCAAAGAGAATACTTATTAGTTTCCAACAATCGCAGAGTTAAATAATAAATAATCCTGCAGTTCAGGCTCCACCTGTGTAGGTATAATAGTGAGTGATACAGCGTCCACTACTGAAATAATCTCAATGAATAAATTTAATAACGTTCAAGATAAATTCAATGAATACACAACAAGTCGATAATGGCAACAATGTACACTGGCTAGGTGGGCAATCGATCTTTCACAAATTTCAACAAGTTTTGACTAAGCAAATTTCATTCTTCTCGGTAGCAAAACTCTTTTATTAAATTTGCAGGAAAAGTACATAGACAACGGCGCACTCAAAAACTCAACTTATAGGGATCACTATTTGTAACAGTCCACAGCAAGAACAAAATTTTTCCTTCGATTTTAACTAGGTAAAATTAGCAATACCTGTAGAGCAATACGTAAACATGTCTATATCGGTATAGAGCAGAAGACAGACCACCAGGAGGGGGCTAGAAGGGGGGAAGGGGTCCAAAATTTTGGTTTTGGAACTTTTTTATCATGTACTATGTGACGGGAAGATACGACTTTTACCGCACAACGATCGTTCGATAGACGTAAGCTCGACCTCGCGCGACATACACACACACAGATACACACTCACAAACACATACACACACGAATCAAGAGACGACACGACAAGTTGGCAGCAGCAATGGCAACAGTGGCAACACAGGACTCGCATAGCAAGGAATGCGAACGACAAGATGGCCGCACCAACGAAGCTTGGCCGAAAAGACGGAAAGCTGGAGCTTATCGATATCGCCTCGCTACGCTTGCGCGTGCGATCATCGATCAGGCTCGAATACTTGAAAGGGCGACTGACGAGGACACTCTTTGTTTCACGTTCGACTAGTGAACCTCGGTCCGGCATATTAATATTCTTTCGGAGTGCAACTCGTAATTTCGTCGTTAAGACGCTGGCAAACAATTCTCGAATTCGTCATCGAGACGCCGATAACAGCATTTCCGATATCTGCCGCAAACCGAGAACTTAACTCGTTATCGTGTCGTGTGATACAAGTCGACAGTATCACCCGACTACGTGGAATCGCATTTGTGACTAGTGCCAGTCCAATCCATCACTGGACAATTGGATCGAGCCATCCCGACGTGCCGTCTGCCACTTCAGCCACGCCGACGCCATCCATCATCGAGAGGGTCCACGAAGACGTCGAATCCGAAGAGGCCGGCCTGCGATTACCTTAAGTACACACACACACACACACACACACCTACACCCTCTAAGAGCCATCGCGAATCGGTTTATTTCTAATAATTTGAGGGACTCGCGCCCCTGAGATAATAACTTCGAGAGTCTGCATGCTCTACATGCAGTGGCGCCCCGAGCACAATTTGTACTTATTAATTCAATTTTATTCCTACATGCAATATACTGTATAATATTATTCATACGTTAATCATTTGTTTTACAATTTGTTCACCTCGCCCAATTTATCCTCACAACTATAGCATACTAAAAGCGCGTCAAGATCGGTGACATACGTGCGGACGAAAATTTAAAAAAGTATTATTTTGACCCTGACAGTATTTTCAATCAAAAGTAGTTATAAGTACCATGACTTCTTTGCGCCAATTACTGCTTCAACACCCACAGACAGGAAATATTTTGACACCTTCTTGGTATCAATGAGGGGAATTAACCTAGAAGAGGTCCCGAAATCCTCTGGGTCCGGGTTTGAATAAGTCGACAAGGGTTAAATTAAACCACCGTCTTTATTACGTGCGTCGTACTGCATATCTCAACAAGATCTGCTGCTCCCTCTCTCTCTGGAGGGAGAGGGAAGCAGGAGGGGAGAATCCCCACAGTGGTATGGGCTGAATTAAAAAAAATTTGAATCATGAGAAGATGCAAATTTTTGAACAAGTTGTTATGTCAGAGCGGTATAAATGAAGTAATCGTATGGCTATTATAATAAATATACTTTATTAAGGATATGGAGGGAACTGTTTGTGTGCCGATGCACACTACACGACGTCATGCGTTAAAGTGACGAATGCCCGCTGAGTGGTTGAGCTCGTCGGGTGGTGGCAGCACTTATGTGTCTGCGTATACATTACAATCCTCCCTCTTTAAATAAACATTAATAGCCATTATAAACGTATAGATTTAACATGATCCGAGGCTTAGGTACTCGTTTAGATCGTCTTACTGGCATAGTGACATTTTTATTAATATGACTCTCCGCTGCTACAATCGGCTCTTCTATGATCTGTTCGCTACCAGCGTCTTTATTTGATTGTTCACACTTATCATTCATAACCGGTACAGTCTCTGGTAGTGCACATTTAATAGGAGTTACAGCTTGACTATTGTTATCATTATCAATTTGAACGTTAAAAGGTCTTAATTGATCTACGTGTCGTTTCCACTGTAAATCATCGTCACGAGTTACAACAAAGTATGATACCGGACTTAATTTTTTGGTGATAATACTTTGCTTCCAGTTATAATTTCTGTAGTCTTTAGCCATTACTGAATTCGATTTTTCAAATGCTATGTTTCTATTTCCATGATAAGCATTTATTTGGCTTTCTTGTTTTTTAGTAACTGTATTATTTACCTTAACTTTTAACAAATCCCATTTATTTCGGAATTTATGCCCGATATGTAACTCTGCGGGTGACATTCCTGTTGTACAATGTGGCAATGATCTATAGTGGAATAAATATTTGGCTACTACCTCTTTTTTATTCATTCCTCCTTTCCTGAGTAACTTAAACTTAGTTTTGAACGATTTCACAGCATTTTCCGCTGCGCCATTCGACGCTGGATGATAGGGTGCTGTCAATATTTGCTCAATGCCATTGTTTTTTGTGAATTTTTCAAATAATTCCGACGTGAATGTAGGACCGTTGTCCGTTACCAAATTGACAGGTATACCCCAAGTACAAATGTAATCGCGTAGCGCTTCAATCGTCGTCTCAGCTTTAATATTTTTCATTTCTTTTACATCAACCCCTTTCGAATGCGCATCAATAATCACGAGATACATAGAATCTTCCACCGGCCCTAAAAAATCAGCATGTATGCGTTCATTCGGGTTTTTTGGCCATTCTCATGGATGTAACATCGCTCGATTTGGATTAGATGCATTGATAAAACATAATTCACACGATTTAGTAACATTTTCAATGTCTTTGTCAATCTGTGACCACCAAATAAACGATCTTGACAACATTTTCATTCTTACTACACCCATATGTACTTCATGCAATTCATTCAACAAGTCGTTTTTAAGTGATTTTGGAATTATTATGTGATGGCCCCACATTACGCATGATTTTTCAATTGTCAATTTATCGCGCTTAGTATAGTAACATTTCAAATTCTCCTCAATCTTATTTGGCCAATCGCTTTGAATGTAGTTTTTGACAATTTTCAATTGTTCATCATTTTCAGTTTCTTTTTGAATAGTTTCTAGCGTAATCACTCTTTCGTTCTCTTCAAAGAAATTGAAATACGTATTATCATCGCTATTACTTTCATCCATATCACTCTTTTCGTTATCGCACAGTCTCGATAGACAGTCCGCTTGGTTTTTCTCACCCGTAATGTGCTTAATTTCATATTCATAACCCGCTGAAAATACTGCCCATCTTTGCACACGACTGGCCGCCATTTGCGGAATTCCTTTTTTTTCTTCGAAAATAAATACCAATGATTTATGGTCAGTTTCTAGAATAAATTTTTTTTTCTGCCTTAGTCAGAACACGTGACGCTTAAGGTATTGGTTTTTCCGATCCATCCTTCATTACATGCGATAATACGGCTCCCAGGCCCGTCGGTGACGCATCACATGTTAATTTTACAGGTAATTCAGGGTTATAAAATGTCAAAATATCATGAGACTCGAGGCTCTTTTTGGCTTTAACAAAAGCTGCCTCACATTTTTTATCCCAATTCCAATTCACATTTTTTTGTAGTAGTCCGTACAAGGGACTCACAATACTCGCATACTTTTGAATTGACTTTGAATAAAAGTTCATCATACCTAAGAACACCTGAAGTTCTTTACAATTTTTTGGGCGTACTATGCGTTTAATTGCTTCTATTTTCGTATTTGAGACATGAATGCCATTCTCATCAATCTCATTCCCTGCAAATGTGATTTTATTTTTATTCAATTCGCACTTATTAATCGACAATGTTAAACCCGCTGATTTTAATCGCTCCAATACATTACGAAGTCTCGCGTCGTGTTCAACCGTATCTTAACCCCCTATATAAATATCATCGAAAAACACTTTTACGCCGTCAATATCTGCCGATAGATTTTCCATTTCTCTTTGAAATAATCCTGGTGCCAACGCCATACCGAATGCTAATCGCGTATATCGAAACAATCCTGTATGCGTCGAAATAGTTATATATTCGCTCGATTCGTCCAACGGAAATTGTTGATACGCATTTGCCATGTCTAACTTTGATAGCACTTTATTTCCACTTATGGAGTATGTCCGGAATTCTCGGTATAGGATATTTGTCAATTTTCATATATTTATTTATTGTAATTCTGAAATCACCGCAGATTCTTATATCACCGTTTCTTTTGATCACCGGCACAATCGGCCTTGCCCATTTACTGCTCTGCACTGGCACTAGCACACTATTTTTGACCAATCTATCCGGTTCCCTTTCTACTTTCGGTTTTAACGCATAGGGTACTGGTTGCGCTTTTCGAAATATTGGTTCCGCGTTTTGTTCTAAAGTTAGCCTCAATTTTTTCTTTACATACGAGCTCAATTTATTTACGTACACCTCCGGAAATTCCGCTACAATTCTGTTTTCATTAATATAGTAGTCGGGGTTACCGACTATTCAACCTTTTGACAAATCAACCCGACAATTCATCCGGGACATTTCAACCCGAAGACAATTCATCCTATGACAATTCATCCGGACGACAAATCATCCCGAAAAAAAATTGTGAATAAGTATAAATAAATGTTGGATACAAAAATTGTGGAAGTAGAGAACACGATTTATTATGTTATCTTAGCACGACAAAAAAAATAACAATTGAAAAAGTCGAACGTAGAACAAACATTGCATCATAAATAACAAAAAAACTAACACCTTTTTTTATTTGAACTGAAAAACACGCTGACAGATATACTTTTTAAATATGACAGCACATCAGATTTATTATATGACGACACGACGGTAAGTAATCTGTCTTCAAATTCACGTGAACGTCTTTTACGAGTTGTACGCATCTTGCCACATTGAAGGTCACTAATTACATTTTCTTGCATTCCCTGCTCAACTTGAATGCACTTTAGAAATTTCCAGATGGTCTCGTGGCTTTTGTGCATTTTACTTTCGCCAAATTACTTTGCCAGCACTGCAACTGTGTTTATTGTAAATATAATTGTTAATACACAGACACATAGGACAAGACTAAGCGGCATATGTAAATAAGCTGCTCGAAGTGAGCTGAAATCACACATAATATAATGTTGATACTCACACTCACATACACACCCTGGTATATAATCTGCTCGGGAGTGAGCTGAGATCACACAATATCACGTATAGTCACTCACAAATGCCGAAATCAAAGGAAACGGGAGAAAAATGATATAAAATAAAAGTATAATTTTATTGAGGATGAATAGTCGCCCAGGATGTATTGTCGTGGTTGAATAGTCGCCCAGGTTGAATTGTCGTGGTTGAGTTGTCGCGGATGAGCTGTCGCAGGATGAATTTTCAAAGGGTGAGTTGTCCGGATCCCTAGTAGTCGTATGGCTATTATAATAAATATACTTCATTAAAGATATGAAGGGAACTGTTTGTGTGCCGATGCACACTACACGACGTCATGTGTTCAAGTGACGAATGCCCGCTGAGCGGTTGAGCTCGTCGGGTGGTGGCAGCACTATGTGTCTGCGTATACATTACACAAGTGATGGATGCTTTTTTGAGTCTAGATGTAAAACATATTTAGGTTTACCACATAGTTTTGGGCTGACTTAGAGTTTAAGTATAACAAAATAACTGCCTTGGTATTTCAAGTACGGATTTTTTTTGGTGATGAAGAGAACAATAATTTGTTTTAAGAGTGAGTAAAAAATGTAATTAAATTTTCGTAGCGTTTAAGTACAAAAAAAAAATGATTCCGACTGCCTTAGAGTTATCAGTTCAGAGTTTGGTATTTTCAACATGATTAGAGTTATACTTTAGAGTGTAAGGCAGTGTTTTTTTATCATTAACGTGAGCTTTACAAGCTTATTTATTAAGTATATAGCTTTATTTTTACAAGACCTAAATGTAACACTATAAGTGTGGTCGCTGTGAAACCTTACTTTTTCATTTGATTTCGCTTTTTAGGCACTTTGATTGACTTGAGCTGACAAGCAGGAGTACTACAATTATTTGTGCTTCAGCTAGGTTTTGGGACAGATTGACTAGCCTGAGTTTTATTTAGATTAGAAGAGATTATCTCATTAACCGGAAAGAGCTTCTCGAATACACTTATATAATACTGATCGTACACAATTTCTGTGGTGAATTTTGAGAAGAAATAAAAAGGTTGCCATCCGAGCTATGTCTGTTGCTCGAGCACAGAGCCTACAATCAGAGTCGAGGAACCAGGGACCAAGCGTAACACAGCGCTTTTTTTGACAGGCCAAAAGTGTAGCACTGGCTGCATCAGATCAGGGGATCGGGGTATGATCCTTTTTCTTGGAGCCCGTTATAAGAGCGTGGAGAGGAAGAAGCAGCTCAGCTGCGTTCCTAATGAAGGGCCTATAGAAATTTATGAGACCTAAAAACCTACGTAATTCATCGACGTTAGTGGGTTGAGGGAAGTCAAAAGTTCGACGTGACCCGTCTTGTCAGTTACAGAGTGTAAACTCCTTTCGGTTTCCGACCCGTTCAGGGCAACCGTTTGAAAAGTCGTCGGACTTTATTAAAATCCGACGCTCCCGCCTAACAATTTGTCTAGTCTGTCTAGGGCTGTTTTGAGATGAATTTGATGTTCTACGATAGACTGATGTAATAAAATTGTTTATGTTTACAAAGAGAAAATCAAGATCACCAAATGCTTCGTTGACATAGCGCAGAAACGTTTGTGATGCGTTTCGTAAGCCAATATGCTTGAACAGAAACTCAAATAGCCCGATCGACGTAATAAGAGCCGTCTTAGGAATGTCTTCCATAGCCTTTGGAATTTGGTTAAATGCTTAATAAAGATCCAGTGTCGAAAAGACTCTTTTATCTAGCAGAATGGACGTAAAATCGTGCATGTTTGACACTGGATATTTGTTCGCGAGCGTAACTGCGTTTAATTTTCTGTAGTCACCACAAACTCTGAATTCGCCAGGTATTTTTTTAGGAACAATGTGTATTGGGGAAGCCCAGGGGCTGTCCAATGCCATACACGTGTCCTTCTCGCATCACTTTGAGAACTGTTGCCTTACAGCTTTAAGCTTTCCTGGCGTGACACGCCGTCCGCGCTGCGTGATTGGATCTCCCGTGGTTTTAAGTGAGTGATAGACTCCCGAAGCGCGAGAACCTGGAAAAGACGATGCTCGTAATCGTCACTGGGGCCAAGTGCCCTTTGGCTGTAAGTTTGGTCACATTATCAATGAACCTTTGCCGTTTGAGATCCGCAAGAAAGTCAAAGTGAACTAGCGCATCTGTTCCTAAGATAGAGTACGGTACGTCAGCTATAACAAAATCCCAAGTGAGTTCACCGCAAAAACCAAAATTCAGTGAGTTGAGGCGAGAACCAAAAGTAGAGATGGCTGTGCCATTGGCAGCGTGAAGTATCAGCGAGAAGAGCAATAAGTTAGTTTAACTTCCTCGACTCACCCCATTCCTTTTCATATTTAGGAGAAGCACAAGGTGTGACTAAGCAATTTTTGGCCTTCTCTTTGTACCTGAAATGGTAGTAGCAGAGATCTTTATGTGGTCCAAAAGTTAATTCTCGGCTGTGATTGAGAACGTTCAGTTTTCTCTTTCTTTTCAGCAGGACGAGATTTTCTCGAGTCAGTTTTAACTAAGATTGCACAAATCACCTTCTCTGAAATGCGAGTGATGAAAAAAGGGCGCTTATCTCAGATGATATGGAAGCAATTTGTGTGTAGCCTAAAGGTTTGAGACGTTGATGCAACCGGTCAGCCTTGGCGATGGCTTGTTGTGCATTAGAGCTAGTGATGGCCTCATCAAGCTGGACAGCAACTTCATTCGGGAGAGCTCTGGACCAAAGCAGCCACAAGATTTCGTCTGGTACGTGTCCTTGAGCTAGAGCTTGCATCTCTGTGAATAACTAAATGAATTTTATCAGCAAAAACGATTTTTATCAGCAAGAGTACTCACGAAAGAGTTGCTTTATTTTCTCTTGAATCGACTGAGAGAATTTTTTTATTAGATGGTCTTTTAATGTCCCATATTTGCTGCCAAGAGGAAGAGAACGAATGATTGGTGAGATTGATTTGCATATGGCAGGTGTCAGCGTCTTGAGCAGAGCGCAGTGCTTTGTGTAGTAATCCACGATGTTGAGCAAGTGAAGTTCACTTCCGAAGAGCATGAAGCACAATGCTTGATCATGTTGAAAAAAGGGAGGAACTGTCACATACCTGCCCCTGTATGCCGCATCAGTAAAAGCAGCCTGAG